CGCAGAGCGGGGTCGGCGGATAGGGCAATCGAGAAGCGTGAGCTGGGAGGGGTGGGTTTAAGCTGCGCAGACCAAATGAGTAGAGCAGTTACATTACTTATTTTGAGTAGATTACAGACTCTTCGTCATAATCAGATTCGTGACCATCCGATAAATTGTTCATTGCCAGTCAGGAGATCAAAGCCCTTCTCCAAGTCAAGCGAATTCATCCAAAAGTTGGATTGGGTTAAAAATCAGATGTACAGAATGAAATGTCTTCTTCAGGGACCCTTAAGATTAGACCCCTAGATATCAAGGTCGAACCTTCCTAGAGTTCTAGATGTCCAAGCCCGAACCTTTTTAGATATTGAGTTTCTAATCTAGATAAGCAGGCCCCGTGTCCTCTATTGTATCTCTATACACCTAGAATGGTCTGAACATGATAGCAGACTTTTCATGCGTAAGTCTAGAAATGCGCCACAAAATCGCACGTGGTGGACTAAGAGGTAGCTTGTTTCGTGTGTACATCTCGCCGAGTTTGCGCCGCTCTTTACAGGTGAGGCTTAGGCTGCCGCACGTTTCTTTTCGCTTCTTATACCAGTGTCGTGGTCAAGCTCTTCTGTGAAAGCCCAACGGCCTGAGAAACGGTCAAAATCAGGTATCTTTCAACATTGCGCGTCATGTAGATGTCATCTTTCGGTATCAGGCCGCCGATGATGGGGATGATGCAGCCTCCAATGTGCCTGGTATGCAGCTTGATGTCCGGCAAGCAACAAACCAATCAGCCAGCACTCATGGTGCCTTCACTCAAGTAGTGCAATAGACGAAGTCACAAGTAGCGTTTGTTAGAACAAACTAGTTCAGATCTACTGCCAACTCCATCTGGCTCCTGCCACTTAGCTCTTGACATGCAAAGGCAGTCCATCAACCCAATGGGAATGCCAAAGAGCCTTGGCTGGTTCAGCATCAAATTTGTGCCTCTCAGCCAGGCATGCTTGTAGTTACCGGCTGCCTGGTACTTTGCTGTCACAACATGTTCACAACCCTTTCACGCGATACTTTCAGGGAACGTTCACTGCTCAGTTGCTTTACGTCAACTGCGTTCCCTGTCATTTTGCAAGGGATGCAAAGCAGGCATCACTAAGAAGTCCAAAAGCATCGTTTTGCTTTGGTACATTGGCAAAAAAAAACAACGCAGCATTTTGAACACCGGTGGCCCAGGATGGGCAAAGGCGGCCCCGGGTTCGATGGAGCTTGCGGGATGCAGCACATGGCTTTGACCTTGGCTCTCCACATCCGGCACTTGCTAGACGTCAAAGCAGTGCACAACACATTCGCTCAATTGGCCACTGTCTACTGCAGCGAGAAATCTCGCGCCATGTTGTGCCGAAAGCACCCTTGCTTCTAAGGCGATGCAGAAAGGAATGCCGCCAAACGGGAAGGGCGCGGGCATGGGGCCAATGCCGATGAGTCATTGGGCTAAGATGAAAGTGTCAAAGGGGCCAAAGACTCAAGCAGTTGCACTTCTGTCGCTTCTCAACTTAGTGAGCTGAGATTCCATGGCATCCATGGGCGGTATGATGCGACCCCCGCAGCCTTGTGGAATGCAGCACTTACCTCAGAGGGCTGAAGGCAGGCCAGCCAGTCGCAGCAGATTGTCAGAGCAAGACGTTATCACCAGCAAGCTGCCAAATAGATACATCGTCCACTTCTTTGTCTTCAGTGCCTGTATGGCGCCTTTGTTTACTATCTCTACTACTATAGCCTGCAAAAGCTTGCTGAGGCAGATGTTGCGTCCAAATCCTCCCCAGCAAATGAGCCTTGGCTGTTAGCCGTGCTCGTTGATTTGCGTGTTTGTCTCAGACAGCTGTTTTTTTCCTAGTTGCTGGTCCGTGAAGTTAGGGACAGTGCACCTGGTCTGCGGCATGTCTGTCTACGGACCGTTTTCCATTCTCAGATTCTAGTTAGTTTGCACAGCTGGCTGGGTGCTTCACATCCGAAGAAGCATCCTTTCAGGAGCATACCACAAAATGTTAGTGGACCAGCCGCTCGGACAAAGCTGTACTTGTTTTCAAAAACAGAAGGGTCTTAGACAAGCATATCGCTTACCGCTGGAGATTGCATTAAGAGGCAATCACGAAAGCTAGCTCTTTTGGAGCTTGCGCTGCTTCACTAGCGTTTGCAAGTTCTCTTGGTGGGTCAGAAGCTGACTCGGGGACTGTTTCCTATTATTGTTTTCAACGCTGTTTCCATCAACGGCAAGGGGCACCTCCCCCCGCCCAAAAGAAAAAGGATAAATTTGAAAGAGTGAGGCCTTCTACACTCCTGCAAGTTCTAAACAAATCTACAACTCACCTCCAAGAGATGAGGCCATGACGTCTGCGGAGTTTAATGGCATAGCTGTGTAGGCCCACCTGCAGCCCTTGGGTTATTCTGAAGCCTCAACGTGAGTCTGACAGCAACTACACGGCTCAAGCCCTCTAGCATTTGCGGCCCCCTTGTCAAATCTAACAACAAGTGCAACCCGATTCATTTTGCAAGCTAGAGGACCTGCTTCTCAGCGTGAGTACATCTATTCAATCGATCAGCTTAGTCTCGCGCAGCAGTTTGCCCGAGACACAGGTCCAAAAGCAGATGATCGGTGAGAAGCTCTACCCGCTAGTGGCCAAATACCAGCCTGAGTGGGCACGCTGCCAAGACACCTAGACGATTTAAGCATCAGGGTTTCCATTCGCAATTGAAAGGCTGGCAAGATCACGGGCATGATGCTGGAGATGGACAATAGCGAACTTTTGATGTTGCTCGAGCCAGAAACTTACACGCGTCCACATATCATACTTTCATCCCTTTCAGACTTGCATTAGTTGCACACTTTCACTCTTAAACAAGCCAAGTCTGAGTTGTAAGGTCTGAAGGACAGCTGCGCGGAAAGGTGGATGAGGCACAGCTCAGAGCAGAGACGCAGACATCGCATTCCCCGCCGATTTCAGTCAGCCCCCTGATGTCATAGCGCTTGAAAAATAAGCTAAGGCCATCCGTGTCATTCAACAGGCGAGGCGTCCTTAATCAACGCTCGGGCCTCACTTGACATCATCTGTTGAGGATTGCCCCACATGTCTTGGACCTTCCACCTGCAAGCTTCCATGTCAGTTCGCGTTGAGCAAGTGTGAGGGCATTGCCCTTGAGACTCAGTGTCATGACAGTAGCTGACACCAAATGTGGCGTGAGTGGGCTAGAGGAAAAAACATGACACAGTGACTGAGGAGGTGCGCGTGAGCAGCATGGTTCAGAATGTTCAGCGGGACGAGCTTCCTCATCTCGGCATCAAAAAAGAGAGCTGAGATTTTCAAGATTGTGCGCGGATGTCCAAGGTGGCAGCTGTTGTGGATGTTTTTGGGGGTGCCTATGCCTGCTTTAGACCTCGGCAGCCGGCACCGGGTGAGTTTGCAGCTACACTTGATGATCTCAGATGGTCTCGAATCCAGACATCTTGGCTTGGAGGGGCAAAATCCATAAAGATGTCATCACCAGGTGTCATCCGAAAGGGCACCCAGTGCAGACCCCAAAGCCCACAGACCTGTCCCAGCGTAAGCTGACTCAATGCTTCAGTGTCAGCTTCTTTCCTTGTCTCCTAATGGCACAGAGCGTTTTATGACATAGTGAAGGATGAGCTTTTTATTCTTATTGCCAGTGCTAGAGCTGGAGCACAGCCGCATGCGCTGAGCGCAATGTGACTACGATTATCGCTTCTTGTAGACAGTGAGGGCCTTCAGTCATAGAAGGTGGGAAAGGTGGTAAAGCTGGTTAGTCTGGGCCCTCACTGGACTCAGCTGTCGATTGGACAATCGAAGGACATCTACGCATCATGGTCGGCGATTCGCTTTTGCACATGTCGTCGTATCAGACTTGTACTGGATGCGGCTCGATGTTGATTGTCCTTCCAACACTCCTCAGTTACGCTGGGTTCAAAACCCTGCGAATACCCTGCGGGGAAGAAATTGAGGGACCAGTCGTACTCGGATGAGCGCAAAAAAATTCCCAAGGGAAGTGCATACGCTGTCCTTCAATTATGTAACATGCAGACTTTGCAGCGCTGCAGCGACAGAAACATTGATTGGGTCAGGCTGCAATGTACAAGGATAGAGTTGGATTTTGTTTGCCTCCGTGACAGCGTTGATCTCACAGCACCTTGCACCCTCTTGCAACCGAACAGACACGCGCACCACTTGGCTACAAAGCAGAAGGTTCATTCAGAACAGTCAGGTTGATCCGCTGGCACCATGTTGGCCATCTGGAGCCCGCGTCAGGACTGCAGCAAGCTGGCTGGATCCAAGCGTCCCCTTCAGCGAGATCATTCGACCTGTGCTGAAAATGTCCCAGGACAGGGGGCCATGCTCTTCCTACTCATGACCCCTTGCACAACAGTATGCAACTATAGTAACTATGTGATGCGCCTTTTCGCTGCCACCATGTGCCACCTGTAATGTGCAGCACCGTGACAGTTGTCGCTAGGGACAGTTGTCGCCAGACATTTCAGTTGCTTCGCTGCAAGTTCTTGTACAGCATTTGAGAAATATGTGGATTGGGGTGGGAGCTTCATTGTGGAACGTCAAACTGGAGGACAGAATTAGGACCGCACATGCCTTTCTTCTCTGCATTATCCCAGAAGTCTTTCAACCTAAGGAAGAAGACCTTGAAAAGGTGTATTTAAGTGGTCCATGAAAAACTTGAACAAGGCAGTGTCAGCCTGAGTTGGCATGGCTTGTCTCCAACTTCAGACCTTCAAAGGTAACCAGACCAGCAGAATGCTGGTGAAAACATAGGTGAAATAAATGACGCGAGGAGATTCCCCAAGCTTGTGGGCCAATGGCTTTTGCCTATGTGGGCGTATGCCTTGCTTTTTGTCTTCGTGCTGCAGCTTGAGAAGCAGTTCAGTGAGTTTTGCTTGAACACGCCACATGGTGCAGCAGGCTCATGCCCAGTCTCAGCTTCTCCTCTACGAGGCCCACGAGCCATAACCAGATGGGAACTAGTGGCACATGTCAACATTTCGCAGAAACATTTTGCGCTGCCGAGCACAGATACTAACGGAGTACTAGAAGCATGTGGGCGTGGTTCCAGATTTCATCAGAAAAAGATGCAGTCGGGCCTGGATGCTACGCTTAGTCCTTTGTGGAGCCATCATGCATGATGCTGATGTGTTCCAGGGCTCAAGTGGCTCAAGACACGAAGACCACTCTGCTTGGGGAGACGTGTGTTTGACGGACATCAGTGTGTTCTCAATCTTCCTTTGTGCACAAGCTCGAGCATTCAATGGTGTGCTTCGTTGGATACACTGGTTTTGCCTGATGACGGAGCGCCAGATCTACGGCTCACGATGCTGCGCCAGAACGGATGCGGCTTCCTGGTCACGGGTCTTCCACTACTTGCTGACAGTATTGCATGTGTTAGACTTTCGAAGTGCGTTTCCATACAGATCCTACTTCACCGCTCATCCGCCTCGGCAACAGCTCGTAGAAGCAAACAGAATGTGGGAGCCTGTAAATGTTTTGTGGTACAGCAGAGGTTGAAGAAGCCAGTAACCATACCTTTTGCCTGGAGCAGCTGCATTTTCGGGCTGGGCGTCATGTTGAACGCACGGCTGTTGCTGTCAATGCGAGTCACCACCCTACACCAAAGCTCCTGCGCAGCGCAAAGGCGCGGAGGTAGCGCATCGTAGAGCATCGCTCGCAGACTGCTCAGCAAGCGGGCAGAACGCTCTTCAAGGCACCAAAAGGCCTTTCTTCCCAACATGCCGCAACGACAGTCATCATCATCATTATCATCAGAAACTTTGACAGTTTTAGGTTCAGCAAGGCTCACTGGCTTCCAGACAAAAGTGGAGGTCGCATTTTGCAGCACAGTATGAGCCAGAAGGTGGGGTCGCTGGAGAGTTGGAATTCAAAAGGCGCGTGCTCGAGCAGTGATGGAAAATAACCAGCCTGGTCAGCCTGTTCCAAACTCTTACCAGAGGCTGAACCACTCAGCATCATGGGAGAACCTTGCGCTCTCTTTCCAACGGGACATCCACAGCTTCATCGCTGCCTTAGGGTTACAAAACCCTCACGGCTTCCCACTCTCGCAAAGGTCCTGTCAGCCATAGCAGATTGCCCATCAACCAACCCACAGGGTTGGAAAAGGAAAGCGCAGCTGTTGGTTAACTCAAGTGGTTGGCACGAAGCATGGACGCCCCTTCCAGGGCTCCTCTTTAGCGCGGCAGACACTAGAATGAGCAGAAGTTTGTTCCAGGATGTTTCTCGAGATTCCATTTCCCATAGTGCTAGATGCTGATTCAAGTTTGTGGACGACAGGTATCGCCTCTTGTCTCCAACATCCGCAATGAGTCGCCTGACTGTGTCCTTCCCAAGAAGAAGTGCGCTCCTGCTTCAACTCAAGCAAAGCATTGATGTGGTTGCACCGTCCGATTGTTGAGCCATTCTCAGGAGGTCACGCCACCAGGCTGAAACAGGTCCAAAAGCTTCTTCACTTGGCAGGTACGACGAGAAGCAGCTGGCCAAAGGGATCGGAAGATTTTTCAAGCCCAAGCCGGCCGACAGATCTTTTGTGGCATTTCAGACAAGGTGCAAACAAACTGTTCCCCAGAAACACCCTATCTTTCAAGACTAGTTTGCTGCAACGCTTCGCAAGCGCCACGCTTGCCTTGATCGAGCCCAGCAAGCATCGCAGTTTATCAAAGGCTGTCATACATGGAGGCCAGATCACGATTTTGCTACGGATGACCCTTATGTTCGGGATTGATGCTGTCATGTTACTTGCCGAGGTGAATAGGGTGCTGATACCATGACATGTTTCTTATTACTACGACAGGTTGCTTCTCACAACAACTAGGATTTGGGTAAACCCGACAAGTTCGAAACATTTGAAACGCCCCCTCTGCCGAGGTGATTTGAAGTCGAAGAAGCGCACTTTGGAGGATTGTGAGGACACTTCAGGGACGTTCTGCCGGGGTAGTGGGATGGGAGGGAGCAGGGATGGGAGGGATGCTTGCTGCCACATCTCACATCCCTGCCTGCAGCTGCGGCAATTTATGTGAATCCCTGCTCCCGCCCTTCTCTCATCTGAACATTAGAATGTGCCTGCATTTTGAGTGCCGCTAACCGCATAAGCACGCTGCGCTGCAACTGAGTTAGCGCTTTGCTGGGCATGGAACTACAACACAACGAGGGTGAGTGTAAGTCTGCTGCCTTCCAGGAACAAGACAAGGAAGACGTGAAGGTCATCCGCCTGGAGTGATTGGCGTGGAAGTTTAAAAAAGCTGCTTGTCCGAACAGCCGGCAGCCTGCTCAACATGCAATCCTGACATCTTCCTAAATCTCTCATTGTTCGTGCTTGTGACATTTTCAGGGACGAGACCCTTTGTAGCTCTAGCGCAAGGGATCTGGAGCATCGCCAGGCAGAGAACGAATGAAAGGTTTCAGAGTTACTGTGTCGAGAAGTCCACGGGCATGTTTGGTGATGTTGGGCCTGGCGGCGCAGCCCGGTCCTGCCCAAGTAAGAGCAAGCTAAGTCGCAGGTAGAGAAGCAATAGTTGCAGCAATTTGCAGTAGTAGTCGTAGTAGGAGGCACCCTGTGCCTATTTACCAACCACACAGTGTTGGGGAAGGGTGGGCTGGATTTTTCATCTAGCACAGAGATGTGTGTGCAGATGTTCTTGAAGTTGTCCCGTCTCTGCCTGGTTTGCAGATTCAGTGGCTTGATGCGTGCGATACCCCAGAAACAACTTTCCATGACATTCTTGAGACGTGGCCGTCCATAAATGCCTTTAAGCTCTCAGAAGATGGACACAGAACAAATGTAATCAATCGCAGCGGTGCGCCTTGGCAAATAGATGACCCTTCACGGTGCCGGTCTCGCTTTCAGTGACTTGCACTTGGGAGCGTTGCCGCTGGAAGCAGCAGCAGTAGCAGCACTAGGAAATACATGTAGTGTGAAACCGCAATAGCGACGCCAATGGTGCTGACGGTGCTTCCGTCCGGGGCATGCGGTCGTTTCCATCCTCGGAAGCATTCTTCCACATCCGAAGGCATCAAAGAGTTTTTCAGGCTCCACAAAGCGTTTTAAACCTTGATGAACCCCTTCACGACCACCCTCAGATTGGTAAACTCATCAGCAACAGCATCAAAAATCCAGCATAAAACGGTGGGAGCATCATCATGAAGCCATCATATGCCTTACCTTCATGAATCCAGAAAGCCATCAACAAATCTTTGCACACACACACACACACCAAAAAGCCACAGAAGGAACTACTGGAGATTTCTGGGGCACAGCTTGCGTACTGATG